GAGTTGTCTATTATGGGGGTTTTTAGAAAAAATGTGACCAACTATGTAAGAGGACACCTATGTTTCAGAGGACACCTACCTACACATTTCTTATGGAGGACATTTATGTAATAGAGGATAGCTATATTTAATTTGTTTTATTGATTGATAGACATGGTAATATAAATTTGTTGTTGAGTTGTGGCAAAGAGTATACGTATATTTCATGAAGTTTAATTATACATACGCATGGTAATAGGAATTCCTATAAAGGGGTATACATTTTAAAAACTATGTGGTTCAAATATATTATGTCAAAGTGTCCCAACTTCCCACAGGCCACTATTTAACCATTTTACCAGTACCTTTCTGCCCTAACCAACTGCAGTCACCTCTCGAAATACGATCGCTAATCAACGCATAATAACCAAATTTACAAATTAGAGGGTCCAGCGCCAGGCTGGCCACTACAAATCAAACTGGGAAATGGTAAAAATATTGGACACATGGGCCGGGGCACACACATTTGAACATTGTACACACAAGATACCGGGGCTCCACCTCCGAGCCAAATGCTAATTTGAGTGCTCCACATTTTCCGAGGAGGGTGGGGGGTATGGGAGTGGGGGTGCCGAAATTTGGATTTGTAATTGGAATCAACTGACGGGTGATTGGATGATGGGCTTCACAGGAATGGCCCCTGTTCAGGGTTCCTGGTTTCGGGTGGCTGGGTACCCAAACGAACCGGGCCTATAAGTAGGCTAGCATTGCCATTGATTTTAAAGGATCTCTCGCTTCACCCGAATCCATGCAAATTGGATGGGTGGATTGAGTGGGAGGTGGGGAAAATCGGACAAACGGATGCGTAATGTCGCCACTGTAAATGAATGAGTCCAACTCCAGTCCATGTGTGCGTGCATTGAATGTGGCTTGTTTTACACTCGAACGAATTTGAATACGTTGCTAATGGGATTTTGATGATGACAATGTTGTCTGTGCCAGTCTCTGCCCTCTGCCCTTTTCTGCCGCCCCTCCTCCTTTCAGTTTTCTGTCAAAATGTCGGATGGAAAAAGGATTTCGCAGCCGTACAGCTCCTCGGAGAAACTTTAACCGCACTGGAACTCCAGATGGAGTGCCTCAACTTGTTCTTAAACAGTTTGAATGGCCAGCCAGCCGTCAGAGGAGAGCCGCATTATGTCGCTCTAATGCGTACAAGTACATAATGGCAAGTACACACTGTACAGGCGGGCCTGCCCATCCAATTACCACCCCGCCGGATGACGACAGCAGTCCAACAACACAACGGCAACATAATGTGCCATTCACTTCCGTTCCGGGCGGAGGTCCCCAAAGAATGGCAAAAGATTCAGCTACCCCCTCCTCGTTCGAAAGGTCCTTTCTGTCAGGACACCTACTACTACATGAGCAAACGCCTTTTCCCGCTCCCGGAAAACCGCTCCTGCTTCCACCCGCCGCCACATTTGCGGTTACGTTTTCAAGCCATTGCGCGCCATTGCCACACACACAGATACACACAGTTACAACGGCCATCCCCTCGTGACCCCTGACCTCCCACTACCCCTCCCCTCCCCCACAACACCCCCTTTACTGTTTACTTTTTACAGGTTGTGGCTGCGGTCGCTCGCTGCGCGGTGGTTGGTTTTCGTTTTACCTCCAAGGGTTTAGCCTGTACAGTGAACACCCCTCCCGCTCGGAATTTTTGGTTTTCCATGTTTTAGTTTGCCTTTTGCCAATGCAAGTTGTTGGACAATTTGGGCGTGTCGTTCAAATACCGCAGCCCGTGGGTGGCCCAACTCCATTCGGAACTCCGCTTCCAGACCGACTACTCACGCAAGCCCAAAAGATCCCAAAACCCAGGGGATACGACAGCAGAGCTGGCCGAAACAGGAGTCGATAGCTGTTTTACGTGGCTAAAAGTGCTTGCAAATCAGAAACGGTTATATTAAATTATTGGAATACTAGAAAAATTCGTTGGGACGAAATTTTGGGTATTTTACTGACTGGAAACCATAAAAACTATGTCTTACTCCAAGGATGGATTGTCTCTGGTTTCTTTCTAAATATTAAATATGTATGATCAAAACAAACATTTTTATCTTATCTTAAATTCTGCCTATATATAATTCATTTTTGAATAATCTAGCAATCAAATATATTTTATTATATATCAAGTATTTATGAGCTTAAGTGTAATATCAGTGTTATTTATATCGCAATACTATGGTTTGAGAATATTATATCAAATACTTCTTCACATATTATACAATGATATATTTGATGTTAAGATGGAAGCTTGATTTAATCCGATTTGAGTTAATCCGGTTAGAAATAGTAGAGACTTTACTACATTATAAATATTTATGGGGTTCCATTTAGTCTTGATAACATGCATTAGTTACAATGTTCTCTTTTTGAATATACCATAACAAATAGATATTGTTATTAAGCAATATATTATTGAAATAAAATTAACTTCCTTTCGTTTTCCACTATTTCTATGTCTCTTAATTGTTTTTTGGTGAATCTGACTAAAATATAAACTAATATAAGAAACATAAAGGTATTCTTGCGAAGAAAATTTAAATTTACCTAATGCGTTGATTAATATATTCTACACAACCAAAATGGAATCATAAATCTTCCCTATAGCCAAGTGCTCAACTCCGTTTGAGCTCCAGACGTTTGCATAGTCCTTTGTTAAGTTACCCGAGTGTCCTTTCGGCCGGGACAACTTTATTCGGCCGCCGACGCCGCCCCACCGGCCATTAGCAACCGCTACCGACACAACCACCCCTTCTCAAGGCTCACCATATACCAAATACCATATCCGAACCCTCGGATCGGTGGGGTTAGGATTGGGAACCCACCCCCGGGGAACACAATATGGCTTATTATTGGCTTTCAGTGTTGGCACGTTCGATTATTTGTGTCTTAATAAGCGTTTGTTGAGATTTGTTGTTGATGTAATAAACTAATAACCCCCTTGCCCCACCTGGCTGCAACTTAATTGCAATTCAATTGTCGATATGCCGCGGCAAAAGTTTCGTTCAATCTTTTATTGGTTCTGGGCCCTGGGTTCTGGCCAGCAGTCGGAACTGTGGAAACCGTCAGAATGCTAATTGGCCGGCATGAGCGAACGAGTTTAATAATAATAATTTGGTTAGCTGATTAGCCGTGGAACTCGACTCGTTTCCACCTATTCAGGCCTTGGTAATTCGTGTATTTGTGGCTGTCAATCTGTCGATGGATGGGAAACCTTTCGGCTGCAACTTTTGCCGCCTTGCCGCAATTAGCACTTTATTTTCGGAGCTCAATTGATTGGATGGGTTGGGTGGGGGGTACGTACTACTTAGCACAAATTGAATCGAATGACACAGAACTTTTGACCCACGGGTTTTCCGGCCTACTGCAAAAGGTGTTTATACAGAGCGGGCAGTATTAATTCCGAACCCATTAAGAGCTCAATCAAACGGGTGAAATGCATTAGAAATTGCCTCAATCAACGATTGATTGGGCCCAGTCAAACGGTGCTCCACCGTTATGGAAATCGCAATTGCCGCAATTAATTGCACTTTTATCTTAAACGCAGGAGCGGGTCACCGCACAATTAAGCAAATGAGCTCGATCCGCTGCATCTGATGGATCCGTTGTTTGTCACTAGATCGCCGAGCAGTAAGCACCGCAGCACGTGTTAAGTGGCGCTTTAACTGCACTTAATTTAGTTGAAATTAGTTGCAATCAGCAATCAGTTGGACGGGATATGAAAGCTTACTTATAGCTGGGATCTGACCCGTGCCACCGCGGTGGTCGGTTAGCGCCCAGCTTCCTTCCGCTGGAGGTACAGGAGGTACTGGTACCTTCCTGCTGGTCACCAGTAGTCCCCAATCAATTTAAATCTGGGCAGCAATCGCTTGAAATTAGCGCGCGACAACAAAGTCAACAGTCGGAAGTAGCCACTCATCGATCGCAGGCCCTTTGCCGTTGCTCAGGGCACAGTGGTGCTATTTCCTATGAATATCGTGGATGAAATGAAGACACAAGTACTTCTAATATCTTCTATCAATAGAACATTTAGGCAACATTCATATTCATTACTTAATATTCATTATTTTTGAAGAACTTCGTTTAGGCCTTTACCTATTTAAAAGGTTTGCCTAATGTATTTTTCAATAAGTGTGTGAACATAGGCAAGTATTGTTTTATTTCTCTGCTCAAGAAAATCTGAAGAGCTCAATTTTGTTTTCCAAATACTCGTATTGAAACCAAAACAAACCTATGGTAATGATAATGGTGTCAATTGACACTAAAAGTTTGACAAACTTATACCTATACTGTAGGCCATCTGTTTGCCAAATGCTTAAAAATTAGATTTTACCAAATGACTTTTATTGTAGAATCAGACAGAAGTGGATTGGTGATCATTAGTTTATTGAGCTCACCCCAAAATAGTGCTACATATTGTTGTTAGTCTCATTTCTAGCCAATATAGAGCTAAGGACAAATTTAGCCAATAAACTCAATTAAGTCAAGGCCAAATTTAGCCCATAATATTATTTAACTTAGGTAGGTAAACAAAAAATAAGAATATTTTCCATTTTAAACGTTTTTTTTCCCACAATTACTGTTAGTTATATCTTTGTACTAATATATTTTCGTATACCTCTTTTTATAAATGCATCGAAGGAAACAAATTTCATAACTTAAGAGGCTGTTAGGATTAAACTAATAAACCGACAATCTTTACAAGTAGCTCCCACATTTTCCCCAGCCATCCAATCACTGTGCATTACCTGCCAATTTACATGCGGCGAGGCCACAAAGTAGATAGCTGATATCTTCATTGCCCATCGCCCATCGACCATCCGGTTTGGGCCGAACCAAGGGCTTCCTGACGACAGGCAATGCAGCACTTGGTAGTAAAGATTTTTAATTAATATTTTAACTAACTATTAATAGCCGGGGCATCCGGGCAACTGGAATCCATAACACCCAACTCCCCACTACTTCTTCATGGCGTTGACGATGAAGCTGCGCGTCCGATGGACACTGGTGTAGACGCCAGGATACTTGGAATCGGCGCAGCCCAGTCCCCAGGAGACAATGCCACATAGTTGGTTGTTGAAGATGGCTCCGCCTCCAGAGTCGCCGGTGCAGCTGTCCCTGCCATTGGAGCGGGCGCAGAAGGCGGCGGCGGAGAGGGTGTCCCTGTTCTGGTAGGCCCTCTGGCACGTCGTCTTTTGGATCAGCTGGATGCGCACAGTGCGCAGCTGGTTGGAGGAATTGGAGTTACCATATCGGGTGGTTCCCCATCCAGAGACCCTCATGTAGTCGCCCGCGGTCCACTGAACTGTGCAAAGTGGTATGGTGGTGATCCCACTGCCCGTGAGGGTGCTCTGCATCCGGATGACGCCCACATCCCAGTTGAGGCTGGAGGTGCTGAAGCTATTCGGGATGAAGTACTTGGCCACGCGGCGCACCACGCCCGTCTGGCTCAGCTTGCTTACTCCGCCCTGGACGGTCATCCGCGAGGCCGACCTGCCATTGAGGCAATGGGCCGCCGTGACCACGTGCCGACTGCTCACCAGGGAGCCACCGCAGTAGAACGTTCCGTCGTAGCGCAGGTTCACCATGAAGCCACCCACCGCGGACAGGGTGGTGGTGCTGCCGCCCACGATTCTGGGCTGGATCTGTCCTTTGGCCAGGCCAAGGCAGAGGAACTGGAGGATAAGCTGGAGGAGCAACAGTGGGCGCCACATGATGGAGGCAACTAAGTTGGCCAGCGCTTGTTCCTGCTGCTTTTATCAGCCGAACTTTCAGCTGTGCAAACAAACTAGGCGGATTCAGATTCCGTCAAATGGGTCAAATTCGCGCGGTGACAGCATGTGGATGATGACCTTGCGGGGTTCACAAAAACATCCATTTAGTTTTGAGTGTGTGTACATAAGGTGAGAGCAGGCAGCAAATATTGTTAGATAAAAGTACTTGAACTTTTATGTATAGATCATATATTTGTTAAGAGAGTAACAAAAGAATTTTCAATTATTTTCTTTTCAACTTTTTGGTACACACAGAAACCTTATGATCAATCAAATAGTTTTTCTCACAACAACAAAATACCCACGTTACTGTTTAATGGTAATACTACTGTAAAATAGTAGCTACTGTTAAATAAATTCTATTCTATAATACTTTGTTTTACCATTTAAAGTTTTACTAAAAACTACTATAAAATATTAAACTACTATAATATCTTAGGTACTATAACATGGTAATCTAATGTAATACCATTCATTAGGTAAAGGTAAAAAGGTATAACAAAAAATACAATATCGTTTCTTTTATCGTTTGCAACTTACAAAATCACCCATCAAATCCTTAAACACTATTTTATAGTAGTATTACTATTTTATTGTAGTTACTATTTTGAAGTAGCTACTATTTTATGGTAGTTTTACTATTTACTACTAGTAATAGTTTTACTAATAGTATTTAACTATGTTCACAGTTACTAACTATCGATATTGGTAAAGGTTACCAATAAAAATTTGTTGTGAGAAAGATGAAGATAAATGTATGCACTTAAGTCTAAATTTATTCCACATAAACGCATAGGTAAATAAAGCTCTTATTTTGTTGTTAGTCAATTGTTTGATAGAGTTTCAGGTGAGGATGGTCTTACTTAAAAGCATGGATCGCCATTCTCATTGAAATCCATTCCTGCCTTTAGAGCTTTTTATCTGCCATCATCACCTCAAAAGCCAACCGAAAAACCCGAATTCGAGCCTTCCTCTCCTTGTTGTGAGTCATAGAACTGGGCGGGATTGGCTGGAGATTCCTGGTGGCAGATAAGAACTTAGTGCCCAGAGTCTGATGTGGATGAAGAAGAAGCAGAAGGAGAAGATGGGGCTGGCTGGAATGGCAGTGCCCTTTGGCTTCGTTTTGGCCAAAAACAGCGCATTCCAAGGCGCGGAAGGGAGACCCAACTTGGCATGCGGGCTTGGATGTGCGAAGGCTACCATATTGGGTTGGAGGATGGTATGGCTGAAGCCGAAGCCTCCTGGCGTCTGAACCTAAGTTTGGATATGGGTTTTGGATATGAATAAGGGGTATCGGGGTATCCGGGTATCGGGTTCTTGGGGTCTTGGGCTACACCTACTGGCGGCCGGCGACCTTATCGCACCCATTAATCTGGCAGGCCGGGAAAAGAAATGAGCAATAACGAACCAAATGAGGCGAGGCAAGATGGTGGATGTCCCCGTTCCCTGATCCCTGCTCCCTGCTCCCTGCTCCTGGCTCCCTGCTCCTTCAACTGGCAATATGGCGGTCCGTTCTCCGCGCAGCCTAATGAAAAGCAAAAGCAACCCCGCGAGGGAGCGGTGAGTTAAATATTATGACCGGCTCTGAAAACGCCCGCAAAAGCTGGCTTCCTGCACCATACGCAGCCAACAAAACACAAAAAACACTATAAAAAAAACACAAAAAAATAAAGCGAGAGAAAAAATATGAATTTTTTACGATCTCAAGTCATGCAAAAAGCGAAACGAATCAGAACGCGGTGCGCATTGGACGTGAGTCGCGAATGCTTCGTGCGGGGCTATGATGGCGGCCATGGTGGGTTAACGTCATTCCCGGTCCCCCAAACCCGCCCCCTTTTAGCCACGATTTGGGTTTTGGCCCTGGTTTTGCACTCCTTTTTCTTGTGCGCGCACAACTCCCCAGATAAGAATGTTTTTTGTACATTTTGTGTGCTTTTTTTTTTTCGCTGTAACATTGTGTTTTGTATTTGGCTCGTATTCCGTGATGGCGAACATCATGGAGCTGGGCACCTCTCTTTCTGGCGGAAATGTTTGACAGACACGTAATGCCCTCGCCACAGTCATAAATTTTTCTATTCTTTGCATACGTTCTGTGTAAAGAGGGGATTACAAACCCCACCTCGCAGCTTTCCATCGATTTCCCAACCTCCGCTTTATTTTCCTTTTTTAGAAAACCGAAGCTGAAGAAACTGCCAATGGAATTTTATAATGAACACTCAGTGGGCCTGACATTTGGTGCTGCTAAAGTGCAGTTAAGGAATAATTGTTAGTCTAAAAAAACAGCAGTGAAACCCATAACTAAGTAGTAGTAGTGTGGTGGAAATGGAGCAAAAACTAGAGAAACGAGGAAAACCGGAGGAAAAACTTGGACGGGGAAACACTTTGAAGCAAAGTGACGAGAAAGGTCGTAACATCAACATCCAAAGGGAACAATCATCGCACATTGCAGTTAGGACTCAGAGTTGGAGTCGGAAAAGGAATCGCAATGGGAATAGGAACCCAACAATGGCATGCAAAGTGCCCACCACCCACACTCAAGTCCCAGAGAAGGCGGAAAGTAACATGAGAATTTTTGCACAGTGTGTGTCTGCAATTTGAAAAATAAATTGGCATCAAATATTAACAAAGTCATTGTGACATGTCTACACCATGGTCATTCTTTTGCTTCGATTGGGCCAGACGAATTCATACTTTTCTGGGCGTAATCGATTTTATATTTTGCTGTAATAGCTGCCTGATACTTAATTACTATCCATTACAATTAATAACTATGGCTGGACTAGGGCCGCTTAAGTACTATATGTCTTTCGACAACATTGTAAGACTAATAATTTCCTTTAACCAATCAGTATTTTCTAGCACTTTAATTTTCTTTGTTAGAACTAAATTTTTTAATTCATATGCAAAAACCTATTCAGATTATTATAATTCCGAATGCAAGAGAACTATGTTAAGATAAAGTTATTTTTCATAAGGCCATAAATGGTTAAAATTGAGATCTGACTTCGTTTGAAGGAAAATAAGTATCTTTTATAGAATCCACTGGGAGTTAAAAAGTATATATTCCCAATTTTTAATTTATACTCAACAAATCCCCCCCACAACCAAATTCTAGTTCCGCCACTGGCTTATAATATTATTTGCATGTAGTCCAATGTTTTATGATGACTCTAAAGTAAGTACCACGATGATTAGCCCATTTAGATATGAAAAATTTATGTGTGAAATTATAATACCACCTATGATGATTTAAATTAAATGGTATAAGTAAACCCAAAGGCTTTTCTGTATATTCTTTATAAATGAAAACCTCTTTCCCCATTAATTGCTAGCTGGCTGTCTGCTAATGCATATCTTATCACCAGGAGCCTTCACAACTTGTGAGCCAGTGAAACCGGCGCCGTAACCCTAGATGAAAACAAACCAAGCCCAAAAAACCTTTGAAGCCACAGTGGGTTTTTTGTTTTTTGTTGTTTAAGGGGAAGATGGCTGAAAACACTCATACGCCCCGTTTTAGCTGCATCAACCACAATGGCAGCCAAACGAGCGGGGCATGTGTGTCGAATAGTGGGGCATGGTGCATGGTGCATGGTGCAGCCTCAAAACCGCTTCCATCGAGTGGGCCCAAAAAAAAAAGAAGGCACAACAACCAGCGAAACAGTGCAAACTCGGGCATCGACCAACAACCATGACACCAAGGAGTCGGGGGAGTTGGGATCCCCATCTGGAGTTGGCCAAAAGAGAGTTGGGGGCGGTGGGTCTGGCATATTCGTGCGCAATTTCGCGTTTGACGAAACATATAATCTTCGCACATTTCTATGGAAATGAATGGATTGGCGAATGCCTTGCCCGATGCATTGATAGATGCAGACTGGGATTGATGGATATATGGCTGGTTGGTTGGATAAATTGGATTGGTATTGGTTTTCCAACAAGACGATCGGGAAAAATGGTAAAAATGGTTGGAAAAAAAAGTGCAGAAATAGGTGGCATATTTCTTTCGTTGCTGCAGTTTCGCTGCAGTTCGGTTTCTCCCGTCGGTGCTGCATGCAAATGGGCATCCGTATACCCCATCCACCTCTATGGGGCCGTGCCACACCCTCGAAATCTCCCATTCTCCAAGAGGCAGGCGCCCCAACGTCGCTGTTTTTTTTTCTCTTTTTTTTTTTTTTGATTTTTCCAGTCGAGTTCTACTTACATGGCAACTGGTGTATGTGCATTTCGTGTGTTTTTCTGCTCTGCGCCTATGCAAATATGCAATTAAGTCGGCCTGGCCCGACTCTTGCCATCGAGCGGCATGTTTGCTGCCATCTAACATGGCATTCCGTCAGCAAACGGACGAGGCATCGAAATCAGCAACAGAATCTGAATCTGAATCTGAATCTGCATCAGAGAATCTGAATCCGAATCCGAATCCGCTGCTCATCGTCGCAAACTTGCCAAAGTTGGCACTACGAATGGGAACAGCCGGGTTGGCAGGGAACTGGAGGTGGATTCGGAATGGGAGTTGGAAGTGGGAGGGTCTGGTTGATGGCCACCATGCGATTGGCCTAATAGTTGGGTCATGTATGAGTCAAGTGTGGACTGTTGGCGTTGAAAATAGCAGGGCAGGTTAGATAAGAGAACGGCTTGATTATACAGACAGATCGATAGATAAAATGCCTATAATCTGTCAGCTGAAAATGACATTGATGGCTTGGATGCTTCATTGGTTAATGGAGATGTGGTTTGGGGCGGAAAGAAATAACTCAATTCTTTATAGCAGGTACTGATTGGAAAAGCCTTTCTGTTTGTGGATTCAACTGTTCTATGAGAAGGTATATACTGAGTTGTTAAATATGTTAATTACAAAGAGCAATCTACATGTGTAGCCAATATTATAGGTGTTTAGAATGTATCAAAACCCAATGACCTGTAAGAAATATTTTACTTTTAAGTTT